GGCTCTGAAAATGCTAGAACTTGTCGAATGGCTCGTGGGTCCAATCCCCCTGGGGATAAAATTTTGCATTCCTCTGATTTTCAGTTTCTTGGCAACAAAAAGCTTCCGGAACAACTATTTGACTCCACTAATGCTGCAGAATTCATTAAAAATAGAAAAGTTCCACTCCTCAAAAAAATTCCGCTCTTTTTTCTGGCATTCAAGGATCGCTCTGAAAAAAAATGATCATCAGATTTATGTTCCACGCTCGTGCCCCTATGACATGCAATAAACCGATTTGAAAAAACGCTCCATGTCCTGACAAGCTTTACTGGTAATACTAATCTTGGGCTTCGCATCACGCAGCTCTGACTTGATCCTTCGAGAAAACGGGACATCTCCCTCCTTAATTACCCAAATTTCTTGCGTGCTTCCCTCTTCCGGCATGATGTTGATGCCCTCCCTATTGGTTTTCTTTCCAGTTCAGCTTACAGTTTTTCCTTCATCCATAATGAAAATTCTCGTTCGATTGGAAATTCCAAGGAAAACGCTACGGATCAATGGGAGGTGAGTGTGGCTACACCGTAGTGCAGTCCACAGATCACGTCAGTCTTTACGACCACTACAACTTGAAGAAACCATGTCTTATCTGAACTGGCACTCACTTGATATTTTGAAACTCTATTACTCTCATTCCCAGCTATGTCTTCCGATGATTTTCGCCTTCTATAAGCATGTGATGAAAGTACCGAAGGGTTACTGCGTATAATTCCCCTTCTAAGGAGTTCGCAGTCACATCTCATGTTTGAAATTCTTGGTGAATGTGATCCTCCCAGATAAGTGGGAATTAACTGCCCACGAAGTAGCAACAGTCGCACAAAAGCACGGCTTACTTCTCCGACAATTGTTCAGTGGCATGCTTTCATCACAAGTAGCCACTTCGTCCCAAGAACCATTTCTTGTATGATCCATGCTTCGGTTCTCTTCTAACCACCACTAGAATCTTGACGTCTTGCTCATACCAATGGGAGATCACACCATCTACGTACTAAACAATCCGTAGCTCCTCGACCTCCACCTATGAAGGATTTGTTGAAAACCATTGATTCTCAGCGGACGACTTGAAGCAAGGATTAGAGAAACCGAAAAAATAGCGCTGTTAGGAAACGGAGTTGATAGATTTTGAATGATGGATAAAGAAGCGCAGCCGGAATTTTTGCAGAGAAAAGGAAAAAATCAATAGAGAAAAGAGGCACGTATATTGCGCGCGACATCTGTTTGCAGATGCCCGTGCCAACGTAAACAACAACGACACGCCCACTTGGAAACGCCGAAGACCGATGACGGCAACGATCGCGAATAGAGCGAATCGCAAACAAACACTGAAGTCGACCATCACAAAACAATGTACAACGCTCTTCGAAAAATATATTTACCACTGATTGTTAATCACCGAGTGCTCGCTGACTGGTTTAAATTATATTCAAAATTGCCAACGTGTCAGGCATTAGGAATTCATTAATAATAAGACAAATAAAAGCAGTGAAACTTTGAAATACCACGAGTAATAAATAATAAATAATTTAGCTCAAGGCAAAGTATGTTTTGTTAATAATAGCTGGTTGTTTTTTATTTTTTTTTTTTTTTTGTTTTTTTTTTAAAAACTAACCTATTTCGTAAGTGTGAAGCCTAAAATCAGTTTTCTGTCACAGCTTCTTATAAATTTCTATAGCTCGCCTCCTAGCGTTACTATGGCAGCAAACCCAAATCTACATATGGAGGAGTAGCAATGAAAGCACGGATGCGCAGTCTCAGCTCCTAAATATTATCTATTTATTCTTTACTTATTTATTATTACTGTATTATATGCTATTATTCGTGGACGCAGTATAATGCGTGATGAACTATATCGATATGAAAACAACAGAACAATATGAACACTGGCAAAAGACAAATTCATGCAGTTACATATGATAACAATTATTGACCGATTTCCGAAAGGTAAATAAAAAGCTAGTATTTCAAGGCAGCAATTCAAGGCGATCCAATTCAGTCAATTTCCAAGAAACCACTGTATCGACTAAATTTATGGTCTACTGTGGAACATCCGGAGAGACAAGCGCAGGACATCTTCAAAAAATTTTGTTCAACTAAGGTAGCACTCGAGGATATATCGCAACGTCATGCGATTTTGAGATGACCGTTGGACCAGAGCGGTTACCGACTGGATCCCTCGGGACGTCAAACGAACACCTGGACGACCGCCGGCCCGATGGTCAGACTTCTTCACGAAAGCTCTGAACGAAAGGAATGAAGGAGATCGTGTCCCTCGAGCGAGGAGGGTCCAATGGACAACTCTTGCACGCGACAGGGACGAATGGAGACTTTGCTGGCGCCCGCTCGAGCAATTCGATGACCCACGGGACGACAGGTGATACAGGTGAAGGTAGCACTATGACGGCAAAAGATTTTGCCCCGACCTGTGTTCTTACTTGCTGTGACATTATTTTGATTGTGCTCCCTCTTGTCCTCGATTTCACCAGCGTCATAACATAACAATGCAACCTACCCTAATGGATGTCCCAAAGCAACGGCACCGCCTTTCACGTTCACGTATGCTGGATCCAAATTGAGCTCCTTCATGAATGCCAGAACTGTTGCTGAGAAGGCTTCATTGACCTCCCACAACGCAATGTCGTTGGTAGAAAGATTTGTCTGTTCCAGAAGCTACAAAATTTTGAAATATTTGTATTAAGTACGCGAATAACGACATCAACTTGCCTTCTTTACAGCTAACACAGGTGCGATAGTGAAATCAACGGGCTCTCCTCCAGCTTCCGCAAAGGAAACTACCACCGCAAGAGGGGAAGCACCTATAAAAAGACGAGAATTTCTTTCTGCGTGAAACAGTCACAAAGGAACTAGAACCTTCAGGGATTTGGTCACCACGAACAACCACCGCGGCCACTCCACCATCGTTCAGAGAGGAAGCATTAGCCGCTGTGATAGTTCCTGTGCCATCGCTCACGAAAACTGGTTTAAGAGTCGGCACCTGAAAATGTTTGCAAGTCCAAACTCATTGAAGTGGGAAAGATCACGAAACCTTAGACTCCATTAGCTTCTTGTATTCTTCATCTTCAGACACCACAAAGGTGGCTCCTCGTGGTGGCTTGACCGAAACAGGAATCACCTCCTCGGCAAAAAGTCCCTTCTGAAATATAAAATAATCATTACAAACCCATAGTCCAACAAGATTTGTCAAAATAAACAAATTAGTAGTACCGAAATGTCGTCCATCCAGTAAGGGGGGGGCAAATGGGCGCGTTTCAGCTCCTGCCGCACGAGAAATCAGATTTTTCTGCAAGCGGAGGGAATCTTCGGTTGTCGGGACCATCTTCGCTGGGACTTTCTACACAACCCCGAGATTTCTCGCCCCAGGAAAAAAAAAAGTGAATTGACGGTCAGTGCAAGATAACTGCCGCCACCACATTGCCCCCCCCCCTCCTGATAGAGACCCTACCATAACGAAAGAGTGATAAAAATATAAGCAAATCTGACCTTCCAAGCATTTTCGGCTCTTTTGTAGCTTGGAATGGCGTTATCATCTTGTATAATTCGAGCTGATGTTGCTAATCCTGAAACGCCTTTCTATAGAACTTAACCAAACATAAATCTTTTCAGAAAAAAATGGAAATAAGCAGAACATTCTGATGACTGCGAAGATGTAGATGAGAATGGCCAAAAAAGCGGCCCTAAATCTCACACAGGAAGAACTATGTTTCAGTAGTGAATTTAGGGGAGTACTGGTAAACTTATGGAGACGAGTCGATGCTAGTCCTGAGTGAACGTCAAGGGCTCGGACATAACACACGCGCAATATTACGTTTTTGAACCGTGAGTTGGTGACTTTGCATCTTTAAAAGATTTTACTACCAGATGTTGACATGTCATCTTTTCATGAACATGCTGCGTTTTAGTTTGATTATCACCCTTTCTACAACACTTCTAAGCCTTTGTTTTGCTAGAACCGATGTAAAGTGGTGTTAACTGCGACTCTTTTCAACCTCCATGCTATACTCCCGCACCACTTTGATAATCCTTCATTTTCACGATATAGGTCTAATGACAATTTCTTAATTCTTCGTGTGTCAAAGCTGTCGTTGCGTACTAGGGACAAACTTACTTCTCGGATCTTTGCTGGAACCTATCCATAGCTGTGCATGGCTAACGATGCCGTCACGGCCTCAAAGTCGTGAGAACGCGAAGTTTACTATACAATAGTTTCGAGGGCCACACACCAACGCGCAGCCACTAAGAGAAAGAAATGGGTCGTTATTCGCTCCTTTCCTGAGCTTACAAATCCACTACCATCTACTGCCGATTTAGGGACCCTTATCTAGACGTAAGCAAAACCAGCCTTTTGGCCACATCGGCTTTACCGTTATGCTGAAGTGGGGAGCGGAATGTGTCCGACCGGTGGAGCTGGACAACTTCAACGCGGTTCCTTAGAACTAGCACACAATTTGGCGCTTACCTTAGAACTAAGCCTTAAAAGAGAGGCGGAGTCCGGTTTTCTGAATCTCTTGACAGTCCGTAGCAGGCCAGTTTCTAGTGCAACTAGCACCTTACAATGGGAACGAAGTTTAAGAAATTTTTGCAACCTTATGAATTACGTGCACTTACAGTACCATGCTAGACAGGCCCACCGCTAGGATATAATAATCCCTTGTATTTTAGATGGGGCGTCTCGAAGCCTTATATAGTATGGCCAGAAATGTGGACAACATTTGATGACTTTCAAATTTTATTCCAGGAGAATCCAAAAGACTTTATAAATCTGAATGCTTTCCAAAATCACCTTGCATTCGGGCGCAGCACTTCGTCAGCATTGAGATAGTTACTTGCTGCTCAAGTCGGACAATTATATGAAATATGTGAACCAAGCTCACGCGCGTTTCGCATCGGCTAAAGCTCATTCTTACCGACAAGAAATCTAGGACAGCCTACTCTGTCGCAAGCCGGTATTAAGTCGAATACCAAGCAAACGGTCGAATTGCATTGATATCATGTGAAATCTGAGGATGTCACCTAGCCTCTTCTTGTTTTTTATTTCGGGTGCCTAACCGTTTGGTATCTCGGGCTTCAGTATTTTCCTTCTGCCTATATACTATTGTCCGACTTGAGCAAGATAGTGCTATTATCAAGCTGACGAAGCTGCTATCACCGACAATAGCAAGAATATTTGGAAAGCTTCTTATATTAGGTCCTTTTGGAAGGCTTTGAATAAATTCTGAAAACGCGAGAACGAGTAACGAACCCTAACACCTATATTATTGTGAATTCCTCTCTGCAGCCACTCGATGCTTATGCATGTAGCTTGTTAATTCGCTTTCGTGAACTTGTTCAACATTTGATTTCTCACGATTTTCTTTGTTATGCCATCTGCATCCAGTCAGTTGTAAATGAAATAAATATAGCCCAGGCAGTAAATAAGCCCTTCAAACAAAAACTAGATTCTGAATAATTATACTCTTGTTCAGCACTTTGCAGTGCTTCACCATCCTTCGACCTGTATCAGACCTTGAGAATCCAGCGATGCGCTAGTGAATCCACTGACTCGTCACGAACGAATTGCCGGACTCGCAATGTCTGACACCGGCCTTACTGCGCGTATTTTTGGCACGTATTTCTTTTTTGTCATGTGTAAAACTGTAGACACGTTAACTCCAAATGTACTGAAACCGTGTGTATGCACGACGTTTCAGATAGATATTTTTATATAAGTGACACTTGTACTCAACGCGACGCACGCGGCGGTGAGTAGAATTCGGCTCTCGTCACAAGTGTCCGCGAGAGAAAAAAAGCGCCGCGATCCGGGATTAGTTAAGAGGTCAAAGAACTTTTTGGAAGCTTACCTGGAAAATGCGTTGAGTGACCTTGTAGCAACATTCAAACGATTTGCCCTTTTTGAGTTGCTGGCTTTGCTAGTTAAAAGGCTACCAAAATTACAATCAAGTTATGTAAACTTGAATAACATTCCAACGATATCTCACCTTCACTGACTTCTCCGCACAAAGACCCATAGGAGAATGCAGCATGGAATCTTGTAACCCATCCTTTGCAATACCATCCTGAACTTGGATTAAGAAAACAACGCAGACCGAACAACAAGTAAATCAGAGTTCAAGACCTACCACAATGTTGATTCCTCCATATGGTATTTCTCCTCGTGGTAAATAGAAGGGAACCTGTGAGATGGAAAATCTCTTCTACTAGCAAAAATGAGGCGCTTAAAGCTACTCTGCAGAGCACCAACCTGGCTCATATTTTCACAACCGGCAACGAGTACTTTCTTGCGATATCCACTCTTAATCGACAGGACGCCTAGTGCTAAAGCTTTCATAGACGACGAGCAGACTTTGTTGATAGTCACTGCTTGAGAGGTTTTGGGAATTCCTCAAATGCAACAAATTAATTACTTTTACGATGCGCCTCACTACCAGCACATAGTTCAGCAACACATAAGTATATCAATAGCAAAGAGAGATATTCACCCACCGATAGCAATAGCAACTTGTCGAGCGACATTCTGTCCACAGTTAGCCGTTAGAACAGACCCAACGAAGGTTTCTTCGATATCATTCGGAGTGAGACCTAGAAGTGAACCCCTGTTGCGTCAGTCATCATCTATAGAGCAAAACGTCAGATGTAGACGAAAGTAGATGCAAAATGTCAGGGATCGACTCAGATACTAACTGTGCTTTACACGATATTCACGGAATGGCTTACCGAACGCACACCATTCGATCATTCATTTCTGAATCCCGCATCGAACCTTTTCGGGACCAAGCAACATTTCCACCACTTCAGGAATGGTCATACGGCCCCAAACTTGTATGGTAGAATAGAAAAAATCAGCTCAGCAAAATCAGACAAAATCGAAATCAGCTACCACTACGATTATTAATGGATGTCGAACGCGTGGCGTACCCCATGAAAAGGCCAAAAGTTTATGTGCCGAAAGCCACCCCCTGAGTTTTTTCTGAGACTAAATGAATAACACTTTATTTTTGAATATTTTACTTTCAACTTTACTATTACCTGATCTTTCTACTGCGGTTCGACCTGCTGTGGCAGCGAGCTCAACCGCACTAAGCGAGGCGAAAGAACCGCGAAACGACGCAATAGGAGTTCGAACTCCTGCGAGTATCACTACCTGAAAGAAGTGCAAATCATGCTAATTTTTAAAACTTCTTAGATAAACGGAAATGTCAGTTCAAAGGCTGAGTTGTGCGCAAATGAAAACTTCATGCCCTGATTCCGCAGACTGTCAGACTTAAAAGGAGTCACCTTAGAGGATAATGAAGCAAGCTCTAGCGCAACGGGCAATATGTCAATGCGTGCGGTTCCCACAACTTTCTTAATATTTGTGGTGGTAATATCGTAAAATGTGCATTTGTAGATGATGATCGAGTTGATTATATAAATCTTAGAATTTTCATTGGGGCGGAAATTATTTGATGACAAGAGAGGCTGTACCCACATGTATGATCAGTGGATTAAATTATACGTCAACCAAATTTTCTATAGATGAATGCTCGCCGTCAAGTGGAAATCATCACGCAAAACACACTGCTGTCATTATCTTCAAAAAACTGCACTAAGGGTCGAGCAATTGTGCACTTTTAATGGAAATCAGAATCAGCTTTCGTTTATTAGCTTTCTGAAACTTGTGAGAAAGCCATGTCATTGGTGAAATCCCATTCAGGAGTATCATTTTAGCTACCATTTTCCCACTGACGCTACCTACTGCCATGTCCTGTCTTTTGTGTTATTCCTCGAACGCTGTGAACATTAGTAACACGCCCATAATCGAAAAAAGTTCATTTCTGACATACAACAATTTGAATAATGCCGGAGAAGACAAATAAAGGTGGATTAAGACCCTCAATAAAGCAGTGTGAGAGATAGATTCCTGCTTTTTCTTGCTCGACCGATCCATACCATCGAGTCATAAGACCTAACCCTCCTCATCTGGCTCTGACAGCCCCCAACGCGAAAGCGCTCTACTTCAAGCAACCTCACGGACACATGCAGATTGCTCTGTAGAGAGCCGTATGCTTAAATATGTAGGACAGCATATGATACTATTGTCATCGTCCACTGCTTCTTAATATTTATGGCGCATACTGAAAATTTAAAACTGGCTGTTTTGTTAGCTGCTGCTTTACGCCCCAGCTCTCGGAGGGGAATTACGTGCTGGATCGTAAACAAAACGCTTTGCACTAGCCAAAAATTGACACGGGTCGCTACACCACTACACCAGGGTCAAATACTAACTTATGGTCCATCAATGATACTATACTTATCATAGCTATCAGCAGTCACACATATAAGGTAATGGTTATTTAGTCGACATCGGCGACGAAAGTGATGTTTAAAATTTGAGAGTTTTTCTTTGTCATTTATTTGTTCAGCACTGCTTCTCGCAACAGTTGGCGATGCGAATGTTACCGCAAGGATGCCGAGCCGTGCTTTTGCCACTTACAGCTGGGTTGAAGGGCAACATAGTGCTCCCAGTGTGATGGTGGTAGTATTGGTGCCCGATGAGAAATAGGTCGGGAAAGTGCTCTGCTCACGACGCAGCATTTCTACGATGATTGGAACATTCCGATGAAGAGTGTGATAGCTTCAACACGTTGCAAATATTAAAAAAATACATATATCCATATAAAAACAATAATCACATATCATCAGTCAATCAAGTAACGAGCACAGCTGAAGAAATATCACAGAAAGGTGACTTGCTGATAAGAAAAACGCAACTTCGCAGCTTTTTCTTAACACATGAATCAACCATTAGAATAGCACTAACCGTATCGTCCGACATAACGACCAAATCAAGCTTCTCTAAACTGCCGACTGCTAGTGCTACTCGTTATCCCTGAATGAAATATACTGGGAAAATTCTTGAGAATCGCAAAACGATTTGAACAATTTTTCCAAAAAGGCTTTAACAACTGAACGATGCACTCACTATTCGAAGAAATGAGGTACGACAAAACCATGCGAAAAGAGAGGATCGAAAAACAATATTTTATCTAAGAAAAAGCACCGGAGAACCATCAAGGCGTCATGTAACCATTATCACTCAACGATTATTCAACAATAAAAACTTATCAAAGTTGTCACATTTAAATTGATATGCGAGTGAAAGGTAGAACGTAGTTCACTATAATACATAAATCTATTAAAAGCTCTATTTTAATATAAATCGTTCAAATGCGAGTACGATTCAAGTAAAACAACTAACATGACGACTAATAGCAACTAAAACTTCACAGCTTCTCTATAATCATTCCACTAGCACCGCCTCCTCCATTGCAAATGGCAGCCAAGCCTTTCTGACCTGGTTTCAACACATGCACGAGATGTGTGATAAGGCGAGCGCCGGACATTCTGAACAGCGAAACTTTGCTGCCGTGGTGTGCGATGGAAAGACTCGACTTGAGACGCTAATCGAAGTGGACAGCGCATAGAAAAAGGTTGCTCACCCGATGGGATGACCGATTGAAACTGCTCCTCCATGCGGGTTCACCTTCTCCTCGTCACACCCTACTTGTTTGATGAATGCCAAAGGCACAACAGAAAACGCTTCGTTCACTTCCCAATGATCGATTTCGGTCATCTTCAAACCACTGCTTTGAAGCAACTAAACACATATGAAGGTGTGTACGTTGTAAAACCTCGTAAGCTCCCCATTTTCAATACAACAAAAACTCAATAGGAAAATGTTCCTTATTATACTGCCTCACACAGTAGTAAAACAGTGAATTATGTACCTTGATCACAACCATAGGAGGTGCAAGGGCAAAGTCGAGTGGATTCGTCGCTGCGTCAGCAAACGCAACTATCTTGGCTTGAGGTTTGCATCCGTGCTCCTTGACTGCCTCGGAACTTGCCAAAAGCACTGCAGCGGCACCGTCATTCAAGGTAGATGCATTGCCAGCAGTAACTGTTCCATCTTAACAAATATTGATATACAGCTTATTCCAAAAAAGTGTTAAGGAAAGAGAACATGGGGTGAATACACTCACCTTTCTTGAAGACAGTTTTTAGCTTCTTCAGCTTATCAAAATCGACCTTTTTATACTCTTCATCTGAGTCTACAATGACATCTCCTTTGCGACTCTTCACAGTTACAGGCACTACCTCAGCTGACATGATTCCGCCCTGTTGAAATGAACTTGGAGAGTCCGTTTTACAACCATAAATAGTCGGTAAGATCAACATACGCAGGCGCTGCAGATTTCTTGTAACTTCCAATGGCATACTGAGCCTCCTGCGCAATCTCTAAAGAGATTTCTAATTCTTTCGCGCAGTTTTTTCTCTTCCACAGTTTCCCATATGGACATAAATCGTAAGCGTCTTGTGAGACCATTCTTTCATATTCCATCCTGAATATAGCTATCGTAGATTAGTCAAGCAACGAACGAAACAGTGACATGTTGTAAAATACTAAAATCTGCGATTTTCCTACGTCCATAAAGGCCTTGGAGACCTCCTGACAGATCGGAAAATCCAATAAGTTTTTTTTTTTTTTTGCAAAACCCGTCATAAGAAACTTCATTGCAAGTCACCTTCGAACGCGAGAAGACTCTCTTCTGAGGAGATACTCAATCGAATATTCACTACAGCTTACTGTAATATATACGTAAGCCCCGATATCAGGTAAACCGCCTGTTGGCATGCTTTGGTATCCAACAATGGAGTGGTATTGATGATGAGGAAGGTCAACTAGGTTGAACAGGACTTGTATGGGAGGCCGAAGTAGTTTGTGTATTGCTGGTGGCCATCGTTTGAAGATGTTTTGCGACATCACCTCCTGCACTCCCTTCCCGTGACTTCCATGCAATTTTGGAAGTTAATGCGCAGCGGACCTGAAGCGTTGTCGGCTCGACTGGATTAGAATAAAACCATATAGGAGTGATGAGGATGGTAGTCGGGAGATGGGTAAGGAAGAGATCGGGAGCCCTCCCTTCTGGTAGAGTTTTTTATCAATTGGAAGACGGACGGTGGACCTCGCTTCGCAGTGCTAATATGCAAATATCCCCTTTCCTATACATATGTATCCAATAGAGCTATATGACGAATGGGCAATGTTCAAGTGTTGTGCAATTCGAGAATAATGTATTACAAGCATGTACTGAGAGGTCAGTATATCTTTATTGAGAAAGTACATATTATTAATGTGAATCCTGGAAGACTCCCTATGAGTGGAGACTCCGTATGTAGTATCTGGCCGACAGGTCAAGGTACCGGAACCTGTGACATGCTTCACCTGCCCTCTCCAATCCTACCTTAAATGAACCACTATGATTTTAATAGAACTGACACATCTGCAATATGATTCCCTTTTCCCCTAACACTATAATTTTTAAAAAAAATTAATACAAACAGAAGTCTGGAAACATATGTATCCGGACTACCCAATAAGAGAGGGTGTGGTACGCAACAGTTTGTGGCAGCCTAACGAAAAATTTAATTTTGCCGAGAAGCTTCAGGTGAATTACTGGAACAGAGGAAACACTGCCCCCCCCCCCCTTCACTCTGCACAAAATGGAAAGACTGTCCGCCGGCACAAACTATCCCTTGTCCCGATGCCCTCCGCACTTATTGAGAACGTTTACACCTCTCACGTTTGCTGGCCGTCTCATTTGGGCTGCGCAGCAACCATGGATGGACTTGAGACTCTGTACGAGCAGACTTTATTGACGGGTAGTGACGATGGTAAGACAACTTGTGAGTCCTGAATTATTTTCATTGAATTATTCTATAAATATGAATCAGAGATGGCTAGCATTTCCATATTGCACAAAGCTCTTATCAACCTCAGCCGGAGCCGGAAGCCTGTTAGTCAGGGGCCTGCCGACATTAGCTTGTACATATCCTGTCCCCATATCATACCTGAATCTCAACAGACCCGTAACTGCCGTCGTGGCCGCTTTCCTGGAATACTTGTTTGATACAAACAAGAAGAGAAAATGATTAACAGGAACGGTCGTAAAAGTCTTTTTTTTTCGTTAGAGAAGCACTTTTGGAGGCTGCAATTCATTACATTACAAGCTGAGGGTTCGTGGATCAGTATTTTCATCGAACCGCGACTTCAGCCTTTCACGCGGCTTGGCACAAACGTAAACCTGTCAGAAAACACGCTCACTACTCATGGGTATCAGATTTCATCCTATGCTAATATGACCTTTTCTGCAATCCGTATCGAGAGCTGGAAATATCCTTGACGCATGGTCCCACAAAGCTTTTGAATCAGTCAGAGCTCACAGAAACATGAATGTACATCTCTTCTATAACCCTTGGACTAAGCAATCCAGGTAGTCCCCCAGATTGAGTGACAGGTGGCTCTACTCTTGATTTTAGCAGGCCGGCCTATGTATCTCCCTGTAAATTGAGAGACCGCGCTTACGAAGAAATGGAAGCGAAATTGTGACGGAAACGCACCCTAGGTATAAGTAATGTGTAATGCGGCAAACGCGAGCACTATGCCTAAACGTTGGTTTTGTACCATTAAGCAATTACTGCTTGTGAAAGAAACGAGTGAGCACCTTGCCTTATAGAATCAGCTCTTAAAAATGAAAGGAATTATTCAGGTATTACACGGCAAGAATAGTATTATTATTAATTCCAAAACTAGAAAGCAGTTTTGAAGAACGACATCACACCCCTGCACATTCTTCCGGTTTCAGGCCACCCCTTTCTACTGGCAAGCTTTTACTGGCGACACTTCCTAATTGAGGAGCTGACAGCGACGCTAGCTAACTGCGACCGGAAAGACCCAATTGGTGTACGGGCAGCTCCAATAATGAACACTTCCTAAAAGTATTAGAGAACATCAGAATGAAAGTTGTTGGCGTGGAAAGGCACAAGAAAGAAAAATGACAACGAGAATTAACTTACTTTGTTCCTCAACGAGGTAGTGACACTTAGGGCTCGTCTTCCTACTATACTGGAGCGACCCAACATCTGAAAATGCCAGTGGAAAAAATAACAAAGCAGACGCTATACGGATACGCAAAGTTTTCATACCAAAACAAACGCTTTGAATTTTAATCTCTCCTAGTGTCAGAACTGTTGACGGCACCAGACTCTACTGAATGCAATTCTACGTTAGGGTCAGGCAAAACCTTGCAATTTTAATGGAGAAGAGATACTTATCGATCGTGCGATCGCACAATCGTGACCAATTGAGTGACCAATTAAGTCTGAGTCTGACATCGGCCATACTTATCACTCCACTTTGGTCGACGGACTAATTGAACTCGGTCCTTTGAGCCGCCAATTCGACGCTTTCGGCTGCGCTCTCCGAACTATCAGCGCTCATGACCATTGTGTCTCCCACATTCAAACCGTCGCCACAGTGTAAATGGCACATTCACCTCCCTAAGGATCCCTCCCCTCTAGAAGGCTTAATTCTAAGGCTCTCATCGTCTTCCTTGGGATTTGGAGCGGCGCCGTGCGCGTTCCTCTAATTATTTAGCTGTGCCCTCCGCCATACGTGGCACGACCATAGGAGTAAATTCAAGTAACCCTAAACCGTAAACTCCACGCTTGAACTAAAAGGTATGTCCCTACCCTCACAGCTTTCTCGATTGACGTCGAACATCTGCCCCGAAAAGTAAAGGTTCAGTAGGAGCACTCCAGTTTATTCGCCAAAACACTACCATGTTATGTCGATGTTGATGTGCCTGATGTTTAAACCACCTAGGTGCGAGGGTTTTCCCATGCATCAAATTTTGCAGATTGGGTGGAACATTTATTTTCATCGAACTAGTAATCGACATGAAGGTTTATCTGATGTCCTGATTGCGATTATGGTTTCTTCCAGGCGGCATTTTCCTCCATTTTTTTGCTCGTCTAGACCTTTTCACCGCTGAAGTGGCACGCAAACTAATCCTGCGAGAAGGAAAGGCTTCGGGCTGTAATGAGCCACTCCCACAGCCACTCTCTTGCGCGACCTTACCATATTGGTATACACTGGCAATATTGCGGCATGCCGATCACGTGACCTCTCCAAAAGTTTTGTGATTTGTAGTTGTAATAACTTGAATATACCCCCATCACTCATTTCCCTCACAAAACTACGGGTGATCTCCAGAAATCTAAGATGTCTGCATACGAGAGGGTTATCGTCGCATTACCATCCTACATCGAGCATGCTAACACGCTACGTGAAAACCACAATTCTACCCCACTGGATGAGTACCCAGATTAGAATCTGTAATATTACGAGGTTCCGGCGTTTTGGGTGTGGAGACGCGAGCATGCACGATCATACATTGATTTTGTAGGTTTATAGAAGACAGAATTAGACGAAGCGCTGTGCTAAATCAAGAATGTAGTTTTTCGAGCGCGTGCACAAGAAATGACGAGGACCCTACTCAACACTGGTTGTGGCAAAACTGGATTGCCGCGTGCAGCGTGTATTCACACCAACTTGCGCTGTCAAGTGGTGTGAATAACACGCTGCCAGCCGACAATGCCTGTCCGGTTAAGCTTCCCTCGAATGGACAGTGAGCGTTAAGAACGAGGTTGAGATGTAACTCACTCATGAGTAGTAAATTCGTCTCTTTAACGGCTACTTGTGAGTGCGCGCGTATCTAGTCAGAAGCCATGAGTCTATGGGGTGGTGTTACTAGTAAGACAGCGACTATTTTTTTTCGCGTCGCCAGGCATTCAAAACATTTTTGCTGGCTAGAACCTCAGGTCCATCCGCGGACCATGAGTGGACCTGAAGTTCTGCAGCGAAAAGAATGTTCGCACCCAGCGCGAACACAAACGAAGTCGCTTTCTGTCCTAGTGTAGCCACACCTCGCATGAGTACCTAACCTGGTCAATTACCAGGGTCATAGATGATAGATAAACACAGTTAAGCAATATGATGTCAGAACAATGCTGCAAATCACATCACAGACCTTTTCAATAAGACAAGCATTGCAAGGATTACAAAAGACTGCGTTGTCGGAGCAAGTATTGCGAAGAAGAACTGTCCCAGCAGTGATCCTTTGATATCCCGACCAGTACCGCTCCATCAAAAATGCACCAGAACGCATGATGACATGGTGGGATGACAGGTAGGCAACTACTCCATTACCGACGTGATATAAACATTTATCGTTTCCTGAGAAAAGTCGCCAGTATTTACCTACTGCCGTTTAAAGGGGTGTTAATATAATCGGCTTTAACTGCACGTAATCAAACGCAAATTATATCAAACTATCGAAGAAGCATCATTCATATTCTCAGCTAAAACCAATATAAGACAGGGTTTTAAAACGGTAAGGATTCTGGAAGACATTGGAAAGCAAGAGCGACATGAAATCAAATCGAATCAGGAAGAGTCGCGACTTTGAAGTTTCAGGAGTCCTTGTATTCTGAGTCCCTGTACTTGAAGTGTGGAGTGTTCCGAGTTGCAGATGAAATACATTAAATTACTACTACAGGGATAATTTTGAGAAAACGTATAGAAAAAGAGGGCACAATATAAAATGGGAGACCGACCTCATGGCTAATTGACAGGGAAGCAACGCTCAGGAATAGAGAGTGAGAACTACTCTTTGAATGGGAATCGGAAGCCTGCCATACAGAAAAGGAGCATACACAGAGAATATGGAAGAATGGCAAGCCTCGCTATCTTCAACTGGATCGACACGTAACAGACGCGAGCAGAGTTGTAATCTCAATTCAACTGAAGATCATAATGTAATTAAATGCAGGGAATTTAAAAACAAATAACCACTGGGATGATCGTGTGCCATGAATTTGGGTTATTCAGATTAGTTTGGGTGCATATTGCGTTAATAATCAAACCGAACTCGTCCACGCTACTGCGCTTCTGCACTTGCTTTTGACAAATCCTGTTTGTCTAGCGATAATAAAGACGTTTGTTTTCGTACGATGATGCTGATGTGTTTTCTAGATATTCTCCAATTTAAGTTATAATCCGTTCGCTCGTTATGTTCTATCCTTTTAGTGTGTGCCTAGTTGAGGGCAGCGCCGAAACAGGATGATATTCAGTGATAGTTCCGTAGGTGGACCAATTTGGCACATTCATAGAAGTAATGTTGCAGGTAATCGTGGAGGTTACAACTAGAAAAGCGCAAAGGCTCCGATTGGCAAAGAGCCATTTTTCTGCAAGTACCTGTTGAGGCGGTCGATTAGTGAGGCTCTGCCCAACTCATGGTAGCATTCAAAAGAGAGAGCTGGTTCTGATGGGGGTGTATGCACGCCTCGGACTGCAAAGTATGCTCTGGCTCCGTGTTCCCGATATCAGGCGTAAGATGTTAGTTAAGAGATCTTGAGAGAGTGACCCTTTCTTTTGAGCCGCGATTGACAACTGCAATGGAATATTGTTGGAAGTCCAGTGGTATTGTGCTGCAATAGTCATACTGAATCAACGCATCATGTGCTCCATAGAATTAGACTGGGAGGAAATAAATGACTTAACAAATTACGAAATCGTCACTTTTCAAGAGTTTTTCCACTCCATGGCTGCTCGTACTCTCTCGCGCAACCTTCATTAGCACACAAATAGCAAAAACAAGCTAGAACCCATCCCACCCGTCACACTATTCACAAATCCCCACACCAGCCAAGCATTACAATGCCCATTCACATACACAAAAAGAACACAATGACCTCCCCCCGGACAACATGGAACCACCTACCAGAACCAACCGAATTACACAACACAGCCTCCCCTAAGAAACCCAACACCCGAAATTGAGCTGAAGGGCAAAGGAAACTCCTTGAAAGAACTACACTACCTATATCAGAATGAAAATCGCGCGTAGTAACCAACTACACCAAGAAACCGTACCATATCAATATGACACACATTTCAGATCGCAAAAACACAATGTTAACTCAGCCAGTCAATACTCTAGAAGTTGGGGATACGCCTAAACCGAAACAAAACCTCCAAAGAACTACGACCCAACTTTAATCGCATCCTCAATCACACTAAACCACATCTCCCCAAAAATGATACAATGATCGACAATTCAGGATCTAACACAAACACACACAAAAAGACCCGACAAAGAAAAAACCACAAAAAAAAACCAACAAAATCCTCCAAAAAGTACAAGCACGAACTGTTAAATACAGCACGTCGGTGAACTCACTCAGAACCACAACAGTTGATAAGATAACAATGCTCCTATCGATAATCTGAAAACCAAATCAAATTTTCCCACCCCCCAATAAATCAGGAAAACTCAGCAGCCCGGAAAATGGACTAGTATGATCAAAAAATAAAAGAAGGAAACAATCCACTAGAATCGCAACCCACCTACACCTAGCCATAACCACTATTCCAAATTATGAGACAGTCTTCAATTCCAATAATACAGACCCACGAAGGTACAAGCATGCGCCACGTTCTACTCATCCAACAATTTCAGATAGTTTTTGGTTCACGATCACCATCCAAACCACACCACTCGATCTAAAAAAACAAGCCGATCGCGAGTAACTGCACACCTCGTCAGGCCGTGCGTGGAGTTTCCATTAAAAAATAGTAACAATTACAAGAAGGTACTTTATGATGTCAGTGGTTCCACCAGATTGATCTAAAGAAGAAGATCAAATACAAACTTCAGACAACAAAATACACAAATCAAGAAAACCAAAACAACCTCAAATCTCGCGGACTGACAATTAAGAAATAACATAGCGCGCTACACACACCCAACAGCAATCAAAACAAATAAAATGACACAAAATAAAAAAACCCCTTAAATACCCTGAGAGAGGTACTAGAAGACCTCAAACAAAAGTGAACTCGACAGCATGGAGAATTGAATTACAAACCCTGCCAACCCTTCAAGCCTTTAAACAAGCAAAATTACTGAATCCACAATCCGTTTTTGCCACACACTCACCACTGCCCGCAAAATGTGAACTGACTGCAACGATACAAACAGCAGAATTACACACCAACACAACAAAACCCGACCACTGGT